GTCGAGACGACTGAAGCAGCGTGCAGCAGAGTGGTCGGGGCGGCCACAGTACGTGTCCCTACGAGGACCCGTAAGGATCTAGTACTCACAGGGACCAACGTCGCGGCCGGCCGCGCGAGGTCCCCGACTGGAGGGGGCGCCACCGCGCCCAGTGCTCGGGGGACCCGCAGACCTCCACTGCTGCGGAGGGCCCCACTGCAACCAGGGCCCCACTGCTGCGGAGGGCCCCACTGCTGAGGCTGCTGCTGCGGTAGGCGCTGCTGCTGGCCCTGTCGCTGCTGCTGCTGCTGCTGTCCCTGCCGCTGCTGCTGTCCAGGCGGTGGCAGCTGCTGAGGAGTCGGCTGCTGCTGCTGCTGGAGCCCCTCACCACCAATGGAAACTCCACCGTCGAAAGGAGGGCCGTCAGGTCCCGAGCCACCCCCACCACCACTCCCACCACCTGCTCCACCGCCACCGCCACTACCCGCACCACCTCCAGTACCCCCGCCGCCCTTCCCGCCCTTCTTGCCGGCCTTGCCACGTTTCTGTCCGCCAGAGACAGAAATTGCCGCCGTCTCCTCAGAGGCAGAAGACGTGGGAGTGGCAAGGGAGGCAGAGAAGGTGGGAAGCTGTGGTACCGCACACCCCTCAAAAAGACGAGGAGGAGGCGCGGAAGAGGCAGAGGCAACGGTGAGGAGGTTACTCTCGATCTTCGAGAGAGCAGTCTCAAGAAGATCGATGGTAAGCTCAGTGGGGTGCTTCAGAAGAAGCGCATCGCGGGCTGTGGCTAGGCGGTCAGGGAGGCGAGTGACTAGCCAGTGAATAGTGAGCCACATAGGGGGCGGGGCAAGGGCAAGCTGGTCCTCAGTGCAAGCAGCGCGAAAGCGAGCGTCAAGGGAGCGCAGGTGAGTAGCGAGGTCAGAGACAGTCTCAAAGGAGGCGAGGTCAGGGTAAATAAAGGGTACGAGGAGGCGACTGAGCGACGCAGAGGAGGGAGTAGAGTAGCGAGCAACAATAGCCTTATACAGATCTGCAGCAGACTCGACCTGAGCGAAGTGGACTGCCTCTGTCGGCGGGAGAAGGTCGGTCAGGGCGAGGCAGGCAGCGGCGTCACGAGACTCCCACACGTCGCGAGCGAGGAGCTGGCGCTGGTACTCGGCCTCCTGCTCAGGAGTAGGCGGTGGGGTAGTGGGCAGCGGGCTAGGCTGCTGGGGAGCGGTCTGAGTACCGGATGCGTGGGCGAACAAGTGCACGCCATCCTGCCGCTGGCTCTTAAGGTGGCGCTGCGCCTGCGTAAGCCACGTGCTAAAATCTATAGGTCGCCCTTCAGGGTCGAAACGAAGTACTCGGGAGGTCGCCATAGAGGGCGAGACTGAGAGAGCGCGGCTGCCAGCCGCGGGAGGGGAGAGACAATCAGTAACGTGTGGGCAGGCGGGGAGGCATGTAGGTGGGTAGGTGAGCGGCGCAGTGCGCTGTCTGGTGGGCAGCGCGGTACGCTGGCTGGTGGGCGGCGCAGTGCGCTGGGTGGTGGGCGGCGCGGCGTGCTATGGGGCGTGCGGCACGGCGTACTGAGTGGCGGGCGGGCTGCGCAGCCGGTCGACGGGCGGGCGACGCGGCGCGCGGGCCTACGGGCGGCGCGGCGGGTCGACGAGCGGGCTGCGCAGCTGGTCGACGGCGGGCGACGCGGCGCGCGGGCCTACGGGCGGCGCGGCGGGTCGACGAGCGGGCTGCGTAGCTGGTCGATGGCGGGCGACGCGGCGCGCGGGCCTACGGGCGGCGCTGCGGGTCGACGAGCGGGCTGCGCGGCCAGGCGATGGGCGGGCCGACGGGCGGGCTAGGCGACGGGTGGGCCTGCGGGCGTTCTAGGCGACGGGCAGGCCTACGGGCGGGCTGCGCGGCGAGGCAACAGGCAGGCCTACGGGCGGGCTAGGCGACGGGCGGGCCTGCAGGCGTTCTAGGCGACGGGCAGGCCTACGGGCAGGCTGCGCGAGCCTACGGGCGGGTGGCGCGGTGGCTAGGGTTTAGGCCGCGCTGCAGGTCGACTGGCGGCGTGGCGCGTTAGGGGGCAGCTGGCTGGCTGGCTGGCGGCTTAGGGCTTAGCGCACTAGCGCGCTGGCGTGTGTGGCGAGCTAGGGAAGGAACGAAACCCTAAACCTAGGGCCTAGGAGCGAGGAACCTAGCTGATACCATCTCAGAAAGTAGCTACAGCGGAATGAGTAGGATTGATAGGGTTGGGGTACACATGCCTAACCCTAACTGCTTGTACCCCATATAGCATGACCCACAACAGGGTATAACATTTGACACATCTGCATTCACGAGATGTTTTGTGACGCGTCAGCTACTTTTTAGTTGCTGCACTTGCTGCTGTATTTCCCATTGCTGTTACGCAGGTATAAACAATCACCATAGACCAGTCTTTGTTACGTATGTAACCACAGACATAAGGGCGTATTCCTATCCTCCTATCAAGAAAACCTCTTATCAAGCCCACACAGGAAAATTGCCTAAACCCAAAATCTCTCGCTACTTTCACCAGGCAAAATGTGCATTCTTGATAGGAGGTTTCTTGATAGGAGGCCGTAGGAATACGCCCTAACAGTCACGAGGAGAATGTCATGTTGATGGCTCCACACAGGTGCCATTTCATGGCAATGGTTTTGATATATTTGAAGTCCGTTGGATTCATGTCCTTTAGGTTTTCGTGATGCATGTAGAAAAGTTTTTTCCCACGATAGTGTTCAGGGAGGTGAAGCCGCTAAAACGAGTGACTGGTTTGAATGTTTGAGCATATCGATTCGCGAAGATCTAGGTGGATACAGGGTGAAACGCTAATTCGTTCACTAGCATCGTCACTGCCGAATGAATCAAGGGTGTCGCTAGCCCCAGAATTTGAATGCTTTGACTGGATTTCTTGTGCTCTAGTGCTCAATCACTTCGCCTCTCGTCGCGTGACCCGAAGATGGGGTTTCGCATTTCATCCAACCTTGACGCGCCGTCCTGTCAGGTATTCCGTCCGATAAATTAGCCGACGGCCAGGATGCAATGAGAGCTCCACAGGAGTATCGGCTTGGGAATAACAGATCCAGGAGACGAAGGCCACCAACAAAAGGGAGCATTCGCGCCTGCCACGTGTCCTCGACCACCCTTGAGAGGGCCGAAATTGTCTGGGTCTCGTCAAGATGTGTCCCTGTCGAACTCGCTACGACGAATCTCGCCAAACTCCCTCCCTCCTCACCTAGGGTTTCCGTCCCAAGTCGTCAGTACTTATTCACCTGACTGGACTTAGAATGCTGCTGGCCTTGGACCGAGACGACTATGTAGTTTTGAGAAGGCCAAGCCTGGTCACTAAATGAAGCTCGGCATAGTATTAGGGCTTGGAGAATGTCAGTTCCGTAAGCGTCTCGCTTATGTGCGAGATCGGGCGATTTTTGGTGGAGGAAGCAGAGTTGGAGAGGTTGCATTCAAGTTGGAGGAGGCTAACGAGCTAACGACAGCTTAGGGAGTAAAACGAACCAACCATGACGCGACCCGCCTTGGGATTTGAGCGGGGTAGACGAACGTCCGGGTCGGCAGCACCTTCAGGCAGCCATGGAGGGGGTAAGCGTGCTATGCTCTGCTCTATTAGAAGCTCGTCGAACTATTGCGTTACGATTTAGGTTCTGCGGCGCTTTCGTTAGGGTTAGCGTAGGGCTTAGTGCCGATTTACGTCATCTAAGGGGCCAGTCTAGCTCGTTATTTCACAGTAGCGGTGCACGGAAAGCAGCACCAGGCTAGCTCGTTCTTTCAGTTTTTACCTGACGACCGTTTTGTCGAATGGGAATACCATTGCACGTCTGCGCGGATCTAGTCGCCTTGGATTATCTGCGGTAAATTATACATCCCGTGAGCGTCAGCAGTTTCACGTGCTCCTTTTTTCCGGCATAAAACATCCGACAAGGAAGCTTTTAAAAACCGCGCGTCGTTTCTGGCAGTCTGTCGTCACGTGAAATCGCATGGAATTGCGTACTAGTTTTTTTGATTTTAGTCTCGGTTTTACGATGTCTTATTGGCTATAAGGCAAGAAATCCGCTACGTGAATACGCGCTCAACATCAGGAAAACATCTACATTCCTGTTACGCGCAAGGGTCGCGTTGTTCGTTCTAAGCGCCTTCGACATTCTTACTAGGGCGTGCGAGCATTTCGATTGATCACCCTCGCAAGCGTGCTTTGAGCAAGCACCCAGGTGAACATTGACGTACAGACAGCGTAAAGTGACGTCGCAACTCAATCGGAAATGGTTCTTCGACTAGTTTAGCATTAAAAGGCAGCAGGATTAATGGTCAATGGCCGGATTGCACGGTTCCGCGCACGAGTAGCATATTGTCGTGTCACTTTGTTGGCTACTCGTTCGTTAGAGTTTGATGCAGTCAATGCGGACGAGCTCGCAGCGAAGAGCGAAGAGGATGAAACAATGGTGACAACATTAGTCTCGATCTCTTGAAAGTTCCAGTTTCCCTCGTGACCTTGCGCTCTCCTCCTGCAAAATATCATTCCGCCTTAGTGCCACCTTCTCAGATTGCGACCTATTCCCTATGAAACCCTTCCTGCGCTCTTTGCAAATTCACGTGTGCAGAGGCGTACCACTCAGGGAGTGGCGGTTCAGGCGTCGCGTTTGGATCAAGGTAAGGCCGGAAATTCCCAGCCTGCGTGTCGTGCTTCTCTCAATCCCTCGCTCTGCTTGCATTTCTCGCTTTCCCTCTGTTTGCCCGAGTATCCACCCGCCCGACTCTCAACGCCTGTTGGGCACTAGTCATCTTCACCCTTCACGGCTCTTGTAGTACTTTGTGGGAGTGTAAACCATTTTTGATCATTCTCATTATCACCGAGTGTTTTGAGGCTCGTCAAAGCACAAATAACCTGATATCACACTCAATTTCTGTCAGCCCACCTCAGTCGTTAGCTCAACCTCAGCCGTTTCTTATTCCGAGCTTTTCCTGTACTCACCATGCCGTATGTTGCGCGCGTCTTTCCCGTACGCATGGATACCAGGCGGTCAGGTCAGGTGGTACCCTATCGACTGCGCTGTGACCACGAGCCTCTCAGCAACAGGTAAGAGGGATCTCCTTTCTTAATCCCTCCCCTGCCTATCTATGTATGTACCCCCGACCCCACCCCACTCCACCCCACCCCGTATACATTCTGTCGTTTCGTGAAGCCTTGCTTTTCCGGCCCGTTTGCTGGCGTCAGTGACAGGGTTTCTGATTTGCTCCCTGCTGCCTCTGCTGCTGCTGCTGCTGCTGCCGCTGCCGCCGCTGCTGCTGCTGCTGCTGCTGCTGCACACGTGTGCGTGCGTGCGTGCGTGCAGAATGGGTCCGCCTGAGTTCTACGCGCCCAACGAGGGGGACATGGAGGAGGTGATGACGCCCAGAGTCATACAGCACGGCTACAGAGAAACTGTCCCAGGAGTCGACGTGAGTCTCCCCTTCTAACCTACCCCCATCCCCTCCACTCGTGCCCTCCCGCTCCTCCTCCCCCTCTTCCCCTCCTTCATTTCCCCTCTTCGTCTCGCGCCCTTCCCCCCTTCTTCATTCCCCCTCTTCCCCTCGCCCGCTCCCGTGCGACCCGTTTTCGTCATAGTGCCATGTGCTCCGTTGCTTGCTCAGCTTTGCCTGAAGGCCATAGCCTCATAGCCTCACAGGTGTCGTCACCCTGCTCGGCCTCTTTGACTTACGCTGCCCAACTTACCAGCGCGCCTTTGCCCTTACCCCCTCGCTGCCACGGCTGTTCGTGCGTTGCTGTGCTGCGAGCAGGAGGGCACGGAGGTCACGTACTCGCTCCTGTCCACACGAGGCTTCTGGACGCGCAATAGTGTCTCCAACCTCCGTACCGTACGCACCACCACCGCCATGCCACCGCCATGCCACCGCCCTTTCCTTTCAGCATGACCCGTGCCGTTTCGCCAGAGTCTACCCCCAGAACGTGATTGTTTGGAGCTTATTGCGTACCCTGTCTGTGCCCTGCACGCTGATGCTCTCCCTGTCCTTGCACTCTCGCACCTGTCCAAGAGCCCCCTACATAGCCCACCTGGAATTCCCTTTCTCACTTTTTTTTTTTTTTTTTTTTTTTTTTTTCTGTCCATTGATCCTTTTTGCGCGTGTGAATCTTCCTGTGCTCCCAACCTTTCCCGCCCTCTTTGGTAACTTCGCCTATGTGCTGTGCTCTGCCTCCAGGCTATGCACAAGTGCCTTAGAGCGCTCAACAACTCTTTGGTCCGCAAGCGCAAGGTAAGGCTGAACCTCCTAACTTGCTGTCTGTCTGCCGTGTTTGAGTGAGCGTCTCGTTGGTGAGGTGGCTTGCGTGTTCACGGATTTCCGAGTGTTTGCATCTGACTGCTGCCTCACATCTTTTCTTGTGTTTCTCTTGCTCTTACCTGCGTGTGTGAGTATTTTGTCTGTGTGTGCGTGTGCGTGTGTGTGTGTGTGTGTGCGTGCGTGCGTGTGTGTGTGTGTGTGTGTGTGTGTGTGTGTGTGTGTGCGTGCGTGCGCACGCGCGCTTGCGTGCGTGTGCGGTGCATGTAATATCAGGCGGGGCAAGTGTATGGAGTCCCTTTGTCAGGAGCCATGCTTACTCGTATTGGAGCCTTCCCAGAGCAAAAAACATTTTCAGAGGATGCTCGACACAAATGGATAGAGGTACGTGCTCGTCTCCCCCCTCCGCGTCCCCACCCCCCACACCACATCCATCCATCCCCTCCACCGTACTTTCCCTCACCTTCTCTCCTGTTCCCTCGTAGTACTAGACTTTCCCACGTCGTCCCACGTAGGCCTCTCACAAAACGTGCTCATTCAACCATACGGCTGATGAGACGTCCCCCAAACTCCCCTCCCTTCCGTCCCCCCCATCCCCGTGTCTCAGGACCTGTCTGGTCGCAAGCGGCTGCGAGTGCTGGGGGACCCAGTACCCCACGGGCTGCGCAAGAAAAGACTTGTAGGACGCTTCAAAACTCCTCCTCCCTTCCGTCCCCCCTCTCCTCTGTGTCTCAGGACCTGTCTGGTCGCAAGCGGCTGCGAGTGCTGGGGGATCCAGTGCCCCACGGGCTGCGCAAGAGGCAGCTGCTGGAGGCGTTGGTGCAGCAGAGGGTGCCCCTGGCTCGGGCTACCTGGTACATACGCTGCGTGCTGCTCAACCAGGTGCGTGGGACGAGACGAGAGGAGATGAGATGAGATGAGATGAGATGAGATGAGATGAGATGAGATGAGTTGAGGCCGTGAGCGAGGTTCTGAGGCGCCTCAAAAGCTGGTGCGGCAGAGAGGGTGCCCATGGCGGGGTACCTGGTACGTATGCTGCCTGCGTGCTTCTCAACCAGGTGGTCGCGTGAGTGAGTTTCAAATCCAAGGCGTCTCGGGCGCGGTGGTCCCGGTGGCCAGGCCACCTTCTAAGGGTTTCCATATGCTATGCTGTGTGCTGGTGAAGCAGGTGAGAGGCTGTCATTTGATTTGCTGTGATGCCCCCCCGCCCCACATTGCACAATAACTTGTCCTCTCAAAGCCCTCTCCTTCCCTCCCCCCATATTCTCCTCACCCGCCTCCCCATCCCCATCCCCATCCCCTCAATCCGGGCCACACTTCTCCGGGGGGATTGTTTATCCTGAACCCTGGATGTACCAGGTTCGCCCGACAGGCGGGCCGGGTGGTGGTGGTAGTGGCGCCGGTGGCTTAGGTGGCAGCGGCAGCAGCAGCATTGGCGGCAGTGGCGGGCTGGGTAGCAGCAGCAACGCGGACAGGCAGCAGGTGAAACGAACCGACCACTGGACGGCTGATCTGCTAGAGTTTGCCAAGCAGGTGTTGGAGGAGGTGGCTTCTGGGACAGGTACAGCTGCTGCTGCTGCTGCAGCCAATGGAGCTACTGCTTCACTCGGTAACACAGCTGCAGGCACTGCTGCTGCTGCTGCTGCTGCTGTTTCTGGAGTTGCTGGGGTGGCTGGAACGTCTGGTGCTGCTGGCGCATATCCCCAGAGCCAGGACAGCACATGGAGCGGACTGTGGGGTTGGGGAGGAGAGGCGGAAGGGGAAGGGGAGGGGGCAGGGGAAGGAGTGGGGGAGGGTGCGGAGTGTGACGCGGTTGGTCGGTGGGAGTACATCTGTCGATTGTTAATGTGGCACCTGTGTGAGGGGCTGGTAAGCCGGACCATGCTGGTTGACTGGCTGCTGAGGCAGCTGCAGGAGAAGGAGAGTCTACTCATTCTCTCCTGCCTCCTGCCGCTGCTTCTGGAGCTTGTACCCGTTATAGCCCTGTCCCAGGCGCATCTACGTGCGCTGGTAGATGCGTGCTTGTCCTGGATTGACCTTCTGCCTCACGCGTTGCCTACGACTGCGCCTTCTGGGGCAAGTGGGGCAGAAGCAGCGCCGATCCCTGCAGCACTCGCAGGGAACCTCACACAACCTCAGAAGAAGCAGCTATTCCAGCAACAACAGCAGCAGCACCAGCAGCAGCAGCAGCAGCAGCAGCAGCAGCAGCAGCAGCAGCAGGCATCACAGGCGCCATTCCCTTCCCAGAACCCCACATCACCGCCTATCTCCCCTCTCACTCCGCTCCAGCCCCTCTCAGGTCCCTCCACTCCCATGGAAATCTTCTCCCCCCTCTCCCCCCCTTCCTCCGCAGCAGGCCCTGCTGGTGGCACTGGCGGAGCAGGGGCAGGGGCAGGCGGGGGAGGGGGAACTGGTGGCGGTTGTGGTAGGCTGGACTCAGATGGGCACGTGCAGGGCAAGGGTCCCTTTCCAGGGTCAGAGGAGACGCATGCGCTGGCCCTCTGTCTAGCCGGTGTGGTGAGGATTCTCCTCGTGACTGCCCCAGACTCGTTCGTGGGCCTCAGCTGCTTTCCCCTGCCGCCTCTGGTCTCCTATGCTGCACCGGCAATGGCAAATTTGCCCCCTATGGATAAGCTTTTCCCCTCTTCGGCACCTGAATCTGCACCCCAGCCGCCTAGTCAGCCTCAACCGCATGCCCAGTCTTTATCTGAAAACGCCCAGATTCCTTTTGGAAGCAACAACCAGCCCGTTTCTATGCCAGGTTATACTCAGCCATCCCAGACACCGGGTCAAGCAGGTGGTGAGGGTGCTGCGAGTGCTCCTGGGCTGGATGGCGCAGGATCGTGGGTTTCAGATCCGTGTAGCGTTTTAGGCTCAGCTATGAACGCAACAATGGCAGAAGCAGGAGTGGCGGCAGCAGCAGCGGCAGCAGCAGCTGTAGAAGCAGCAGAAACAGCTCAACGGGACGATTTGAGTGGTGCTGGCGGGTTGAATGCGGTTGGAACTCCTGGGTTTGGTGACGTTGTCGGGGACACGGGTGGTGGTGAAGAGCCTATGGAGGATACTGCTACTGCTGCTGCTGATGCTGCTGGAAACGCCGCCGCTGATGCAAGGACTGGAGCCTTACTGCTGCTGCTGCTGCTGCTGCCGCTGCTGGTGCTGCTGATCTCAGCAGCAGCATTCCAGGCAGTGCAGCAGACACAGCCGCAGCGTGGGCAGACGAATTGCTGTGCGACTCTGCTCTGGGAGACGTAGTGGATGGAATAACTGCGCGCGCAGCAGCTCTTGCAAGCAGCGTCAACCCGTGCGTTCTGCGCACAAACGAGGGGAAAGTGGCAGAGGATTTAGAGCGGGCGTTGCGAGGGCATGATGTGGAGGGAGCGATAAGGTCTCTGTTCCTGGATGGGGCGTTTAATGAACTCTGCTGCGCCTTTCTGGGCGTCAGTGGCCGAAACGCATCATCTGCATCATCCTCATCGTCAGCAGCAGCAGCAGCAGCAGGAAGGGGAGGAGAAGGAGGAAGGGAGGTTGCAGGGGTGGAAGGGGAAGGGATTCAGGCTGCAGGGGTGATGGGCTGGAGGAGGGAGTGGATGGGGGGTGACGCGGTTGCTGTTTGTTTCCTTCTGGAATGGGTTGTTACTGGAGGTGGGGCGGGGCGGCCTCAACGATGGAAGTTTCTACAGCTGTTTGGTGGGAATGGTAGTGTTATCCGGGGCAGCAGGGGTAGCAGGAGCAGCGGGAGCAGCAGGGGCAGCAAGGGCAGCAAGGGCAGCAAGGGCAGCAGGCACAGCAAGAGGCAAGGGAGGTCGAGAAACCCGCCTAGGTCGCTCTGTCCTTCCACAGGGCGTGCGTTGCTTCTCTCGGACTATTCCCGGGTTTGCTTTGCTGTCTCGGTTCTACGCACATACGCGTCCAGCTTTCTACCGCCTGGATTGTCTTCCCTCTCCCATTCGACTGTAGTAGATGTTGCTGCCGATGCAGGTGCAGGTATGGATCCGTTCTGCACAGTCAACAGCAACGTAGCCACAGGGACGGCTGAGCGGGAGGGAGGAGAGGCGGTTAGGGAAGGGGAAGCTATGGAGCATGACGGATTGGAGGTAGAGAAAGACGAGGAGCGGGAGAAAGAGGAGGACGGTGGGTTGGATGAGGAGGAGGAGGAGAGGGAGGAAGAAGCGGAGGGCCAAGGATGTGGGGGAAACAGGAGGGAAAACGGTAAGGATTTGTTAGAGGCAGAGGAAGAGGTTACAGACTTGGGTCTTCACGACTTGATACTAGAGTGGCTGGAGAAGCGATACTGCTTTGTGGTAGGAGGTCCAGGTGGGGGAAAGCAGAGGCGGCAGCTGCTGCACGCACTGCTGTCCGAGCTGGTACAGCAGGGGCTGTTTGGGCCAGTGCTGTATATGAAACAGCTGCTAGCAGATGGTCGATTAGAGCCTCCTGCTGTTTCAGCGTCTGGAAGGGCAGCAGCAGGAGCAGGATCAGGAGCAGGAGCAGGAGTGGGGAAGGGAGCAGGAAAAGGAGGAGTTTTTTCTGCCCCTTCTGCTGCATGGGGTGTGGCGTTGCAAGGGCAGGTGTGGGAGAGGTTTTGGGGAACGCAGAGTCACCGGGAGTGCTTGCACCTGTTGCCACACCCGCCGCAGTTAATGCGCCTGCTGGCTGCTTTTCCTCAGCAGAAGCAGGAGCAGCTGGAGCAGAAGCGGGATTGCAGGGCTGGGCCAGGACCGGACGGGCCTAGATTTCAGGGCTCGTTTCAGCCGCAGCAGCACCAGCAACAGCAGCAGCAGCAGCAGCAGCAGCAGCAGCAACAGGTGTTCCCTGAAAGAGGCTTGTTTTCTAGGGTTATTGATGGCGAGGGCAGGGAGAGGGGGATGGCTGGGGGGAATGCAGGCGAAGATGTGGCGGTAAAGGATGGATGGGAAGGCAGGGTGTGGGAGGCGCAGGGGAGGGAGAGAGCAGTTGCAGAGGCTGCCTGGTTGTTTGAGACAGAGAGGGTTGTCACTATGAGGGCTGGAAGTTGGGTGAAAGGTGTGAAGGGAGCGAAAAGATTGAACGGAGTGAAAAGAGAGAAAAGGAAACCTCGACACTCATCTCATGGCAAGCGGGATGTATGTGAGTTAGAGAAGAGCAAGCAACAGAGGAAGGTGAAGAGTGCGATACAGAAGAAGACGAAGAAGGGGAAAAAGGAGGCACGGGAATCGCAGCAGAAGCAGCAGCAGGGTGAGCGAGCTGGTGTGAAGTTTGAGGCAAAAGCAGCTAGAAAGAGGAAAAGAGCGGAGGGTGGGGAGTCAGCAGTAAGGACGGAAGGGCGGCTGGAGAGGAAGAAGTGCCGGAAGCTGCTGGGTTCCGAGGGAAGGCAGCAGAAGAGAAGGCGGTTGGAGGAGAATTCTAGGAACGAGAAGATCTGTTCTCAGGGAGAGGAGGGTGGTAGAGTGGCTGGGAAGGGACGGAGGAGGGGAGTGAAGAAGGTGGGGAAGGAGAGGGGATGTGTAGGGAAGAAGAAAGGGAAAGTGGGAAAGCAGGAGCTGGCATCAGGAAGACAGAAGGTGCAGGTAGGGGAGCAAGGAGAGAAGTTAGGGAAGCAGAAGGGGAAGTTAGGAAAGCAGAAGGAGGAATTAGGGAAGCAAAAGGGCATGGTAGGGAAGCGCAACGAGAAGTTAGGGAAGCAGAAGGGGAAGTTAGGAAAGCAGAAGGAGGAATTAGGGAAGCAGAAGGGGAAGTTAGGAAAGCAAAAGGCGGAGTTAGGGAAGCAGAAGGGCAAGGTAGGGAAGCTCATCGATAAGGCCGGGAAGCAGAAGGGTACGCTAGGTAAGCAGAAAGCAAAGGTAGGGAAGCAGAAGGCTAAGATAGGGAAGCGAAAAGGGAAGGTAGGAAAGCAGCAGGTTAAGGTCGGAAAACAGAAGGCTAAAGTAGGGAAGCAAAAGGAGAAGGTAGTAAAGCCAAAGCAGGCGGTGGGGAAGCGGAGAAGGAAGGCAGGGAAGTCAAAGGCTTTGCCACAAGAAGCCGGAGTGAAGAAAGCAGAGCTAAGGTATCGACCAGGCAGAAGGGGAGTGAGAGTACGAACCAGCCGGGGTCGTATTGCTGGTAGCACTGGTGGTAGGGGAGAAGGGAGAAGAGATACAGTGGAGACCTGGGGGGAGAAGCAGTTGAGAAAGGCAGTGTCGAAGCAGCAGATAGTTACAGTGGAATGTTTACTGGCCCTGATTGGGTTTGGAAGGAGCAGAGAAGCAGGAGGGGCGGTGCAGGGGAGCGGAGAGAACACGGATAACGGATTGAGACAGGGAGGTGGTCTTGAGCTGTCTGGTGGGAATGTTTCTACCCGAGCTGCTTTTGCTGCTCATCCTCCCTCTTCCCGCTTTCCTCGCGCCGCTCCAGCTGCTCCTCCTCCTCCTCCTCCTCCTCCTACTCCTGCTGCTGCTGCCGCTGCTACTACTGGGGAGATCTTTTCCTTCTGTAGAGTTGAGGCACGGATTGGGAATACCGTTTCTTCTGTGTGGATGAACGAGAGTGTGAGAGCAGAGGAAGAGAAGCAGATAGACACAGCCAGGGAGGAGCAAGGGCAAGAGCAAGGGGAGGAGGAGGACGAGGAGGCCTGGTGGCAGAACGAGCGTATCCGGAGTCAATGGGAGGGGGACTCGGCGAGCAAGGGAGGCGAAGCGCAAGGCAAAGCACACACGGGACCAGTGAAGCAGGAAGCGGGTGAGAGAGGAAAGGGTTTCAGTGATGCGTTTCAAGAGGAGCTGGGGAAGGGCTACAGGGCTGCAGGAGAGGGAAGCAAGAGTGGGTCGCAGTGGCAGGGGCAGTCGCAGTTGCCAGACCAAGAAACCCTAAGAGGAAGGGGTATGAGAACAGGTGTACAAGCACATCACCAGACTCATACCCACCGACAGAATCCCCAACCAGACCACATGCATGGGCCTGCAAAGCCCTTCCCAGCAGCCAGCCCTGACTGTGCTAAAGGCTTGTTGAGCAAACGGCTCTCTTGGCGCTCTGTTACCAAAGCCCTGAACCGGCTCTCTCCGCGCGATCGCCACTGTCTAACCCTCCGCTTCACGTCTGCGCTGATGGGATCCCTCCCTACAAGGTTTTCTGCTAGTGATATCCTGCAGGGACCTGTAGCGGTGGTGTTGAGCTGGGTGGAGGAGGAGACTCAGGTGTTGGAATCGGCAGCTGCAAAAGCTGTGTCGACCGTCGAAGCTGCGGTGGCAGCCAAAGCGGCGGCGGCGGCAGCTGCATTGAAAGCAGATGGAAAGACAGGGAAGAACGCCAAGAGTGGGCGGGGCAGCAGGGGTTCCCGCAGGGGAGCGAGTGCCGCAAGAGAATCGGCAGCTGCTGCAGCAGCAGCCACTGCAGCTGAGGCTGCCGCAGCTGCTGTAGTGGCAGCAGCGGCTGCTTCTCCTGCTCCTTCACCCTTCACTGCCCCTTCTCCTTTCATGGCCCCTTCGCCTCTATTCGCGCCGTCCCCGCTATTCTCTCCTTCCCCTATCTGCAGCACTCCGTTCTGTAACGCGGATTCTCCTGCTCCAGCATCGAGGGAGTCTCTTGACGGGACGGTAACCGCTGCGACTGCAGGCGAGCACTTGGGAACAGGTGCAGGAGGAGCAGCCGGAATGGGTGCAGAGGAGTGGGTGGTGGGAGAGGAGGAGTTGCAGCAGGTGCTGTACGTACTTGATACGTGCTCCGATTTCCGTAACCTCTCGAGGTTTTTGCTGATAGTTCTGGCCCTCTCCCGCACCAGTGAGAATAGGGGTACTGGGGGGGCAGCAGAGCATGCACTGGAACAGGCCCAGACTCAACATCCCTCAGAAGGTCAGGTGCACGGGGGGATTGCTCCTGGGTATGGGACTGGTGGTGGGGGTAGCGTGTTCGGCGCGC